TCTCGATTTCAAGTATCTACACTTGCTGAGTTATGGAGACAGTTGACTGAGAGTGGAAGGTCGGAAATTTACATTATGGGTACTAGATTGATTCGTCTTGTATTGACATTACTTGTTCCTACCGCAAGCACTGAGTGAGCATTTTCAGCAATAAAACATTTGAAGACGACACTTCGCAACAAAATGGAGGATGACTTTCTTACTGATTGTATGATACTTTTTATAAAAAGAGAACTTGATAAGAAAATCGATCTAGATTTTATTATAAATGAATATTATGTTTCAAATTCTCGTCGGGAACGACTTAAATAAATAATGTTCTTTGTGAATTTTTTTTGTACATGTATGTAAATCTAGTCAAGTATCTTCAGAGCTCCATAGTTGAATCTAGTCTAGTGAATTAAATGTTTTGATGGTTTTTATGTCATCTTGATGTGTATAAATAGGACCACATATCGTAGTATTTTTCAAGGCAAATAAGAAGTACATTTTCAGATTATATCTCTCCAAATTATTTTGCCTTCAATGCAGCAACAAGTTCTTGAACCCATATAGTAAATTCTGTCCCATTTTCCGTTGTTTTATTGACTTCCAAGCGATACAAGGCAAGTGCATGGCCAAGGATCTCCAAAGTAAGCTACCTTCAATTAATCTTAATTGAGTTCAAGTTACGAGAATAGCACAAGCCTCCCTTCTTACCAAAGTTCCTGAGTGTTAATTTTATTAGAAAGTTCATGTAAGAATTATCAATTTCTTTACATATGGACAAGCATAAGTTTGTGTCTTTCAGAGGGGCTGTAAAAGCTTTGCTTTCTCTTCATCCTACCAACAAGATACCATGGAGACTTATGATGAAACGACAACCACAACCACAACCACATACTAGCTTTGCACAGAACCTAGTATGTTTTATCTGTTCCTTTTTTGGGAAGTTTTCAGGACAGATTGGAGCGGTCACTTTGGCCAAGCTAAGGAATTTGAACATGAAGTTTGACTTCTACATTTAAAACCTGTTCCATCCTGTGGGACAACTTTGGAGGATAATGTACCGCTATGATAGTAAGCTTAATGCCATCAAGTTTCATTCACTGCAAGAATCTTGGGATCGTATGAGAGAAAACCAGATGAACAATTAAATTGTGCACTTCGTTGGGAACATTACTTTTGGAGTTAGAAGATAAGCGCCTAAAGGCTGATGAGACTAGAATTGAAAATGAAGATGAAGGTAGTTCATGCAAAGGGTCCAAACCCAAAGGAATGAACGGTGAATAACTAGATGGGGATGGCAACTCTAGGCTGTGGCCAAGAAAGCAAAAGATGCCAAATGTAAGACGTAAAAGTTTAGCTCAACTATTTTTGTACGCATGCGACGTGGATGTATGACATCGAACACCTTTTTAGTGTCTCTAAAGGCATAGGTAGCATTTCAAGACTCGCAGCAAAATGCAAAGCATAAAACAAGTCACAAGGATCAACAGAAAAGAATGAAGGAAATAAAGAAAAGAGAAAAATTCGAAAAGTAAGAAACTCTTGTAGCATTCATAAAACCAAACACCACTGAAAAAAGTCTATCAACAAACGAACATTTCTTTGGCTCTCAATTCCTCACCAAACGGCATTAATACTCCACTAGCTCTTTATTTATGCAAATTTCACCTTTCAATATTTACTTGGTTGTCACTACCCAAGACTTGCTAAATACTGGAAAATGGAGCCCCCATCAACTACAAAGCATACCATATGTTGGTATTTTTCGCTTTCATTAAAGCCTAAAATCCAATTTCATCATCCAACTCCAAGACTTCACTACTGTGCAATGAAAAACACAAATAAATGCTCTCTGTATTAGATAAAAATTGTACTGATCAGCATAATCGAGGAATTTTCTGCACAGGACAATCTTGATCGCAGTCTGGATAGGTGAGTGTTCTCTTACTGCCTGCAGTGGAGAGTGAAGAACTCTCAAGAACACCTGTGGAACTTAAGAGCGTCGACAACATATTTGGAGTAATCACAGAGTTAGGGGTCTTTGATTCTAGCATCCCAATTTCCTGCAGTAGACTATAGCAGGAAAATATACGCTCCTGTTAAAATGTACAAAGTTTAAGACAATTAGAGGAAAGAGAATCAATTATTATCTGTCTTTAACTACCATATAAAGCAAGGGAACTCACTTTTTCTAGGGATCCCCATGTTGAGATTGTGTTCACCTTAATCTCCAATATTTTCTTTGTTAACTGGTAATCATAAGCTGCTAAAACCGCGGATGCAGCAATTATGGAAGGCCGATTTTCGATCACATTAATCTCTGCATAGCAAAACTATATATGAATTCTAAAGAGAGTTAATATCTTAAATGCAGATCCAAACTCAACACCGTCTTCATAATTTACCTTTTATTATGGCAAAAATGAGTTCGACTGCTCGGTTTACCAGTTTTTCATGGCTGCATTCACCACAGAACTTGGTGGCGAAATAATGCAGATAAGCAAAAGGTGTAATTAAACTCATTTTCCATTCCAATGAATTCAAGACCAATAATTCCATTCTCTGAATCACGTGTACTTCAAAATTATAATCATCTACATGATACTCTGATAATGTGGGTGCTTTACATTCCTCCATCTTTGCCGCCAAAGATAAACATGCAACTGACAATAACCGAATAGCCCACAATTTTCCATCCTATTAAAATCAATAATATTTGCAAATCAGATTATCTCATAAACTCAAATATCTAAATCTAAGAAAGAAAAAAATGGTTACAACAGAAATAACTTATTTTAAAATAAGAAACACTTACATCAATTGATCTTTTTGAAAAGAACTTATCAAAATAAATCAATGAGAGATAAGCTGTGCGAAAGTGAAATCCAAAAAAGGCTCTCGTCTGTATATACATACACAAACTTTTAATTACCCAATAAATATTTATGTCCAGCAATAAATATGAATAAAAACAAGAAATAAGATTGAGAAAACAAACATTGAGAATCCATTTGATGGCATCCAAACGGGCGCATTTAAACCAGCTTTTTTCACTCTTGAGAAGTGAGCAATTGCTATTACTTTGAAAAGTGACTGCCTCTCTTTGAATTAACATTTGTATATACTCATCATCACACTCAAAAACAGAACATAAGCCCAATCTGTAATTGTTTTCATTCAAGCAAGACTCATCTTCATGACACAGAAGGGTCTCAGAATCATTCATTCTGTTCTACAAAATATTGGGAAGCCCAGAAAAAATAAAAAAAGGAGATAAAATTCTTCAAGATTTGGTTCAAATTTAGGAGAAATCTAGATTCTAATATAACTAGTAAATGTGGAGGGGCAGCTGCAGGAATTGGGAGGTTGATGTAGCCAAAAATCTGGTAGATGAGATATTGATTTTAGCAGTTATTTTACAGTATGCAGTTACTTGATAAACATGGGTCCACTCTCTACTATTCCCTGAATTTCTCCAAAAAACTGGAAATTTTTATTTATTTATTTATTTTTGTCGTATGCTTAACTTTACATCACTCCGAGCTAAAACCTTTTTGTTTTGCAATACTTACATTTGATCTTAGAGATAAGTTCGATTAATTCCGTCTTGTTCGGACTTACAATTCAGCTTCAGTCATGACTTTTAACTTCATTTTTTATCTTAAATTCAATAGTTATTTTTCTTCAGGTATCAAATTGATAGACATTTTCACATCGCCTTACAACTCAAAAAAGTGCCATTATTATCGATTTAATTTGAAACAAAATAAGAAGCACTCATCGCACAATATAACAAACAATCTTGTACCAATACATATTGAGCTCGAATAGTCAATTGGATTAGACACATAAAGTAGTGTCCCCAGCCATGAAGACCAAGTAAACAAATCTATCGATGGTAAGCCCCCACAAATTTGACATTAGTATAGTGATGAACATCAGAGAATAAACGCGTTGTCAAGAAAGTCATGAGCGTATTTTAGCCATTGTTTGCACTTATTTTATAAAACTCATTTTTCCTAAAACTCATATTCAATCAAATATTTTATGAAACTCACTACTTTTATCAACTTTTTAATCATATATTTCATTAATTTTTATTAAAATTTACTAAAAATCTTTTTAGCTAAACGAACTTGGGACTTATTAATTAGTGAACTTTTAGCCCTTGCTTGATAAATATTATTCGAAAACTTTGTTATCTGCATACTCATTTTCAACAATACAATCACACAAAAAATATTTTGCACGTGAATTTAAATTTTTTTCCAACTTTTTAGGTACACAATCTTCTAAAAATTACTATTAAAAATATTATTTTTTTCAAATAATGACCATCAAATGTGAGCTTAATTTGATAAACTACAATTTTTTTGTGTAGGGATTCCTCCTTTCTAAATTAAAATTTCAATGCAATAAGGTTGAAATTACTACCAAGTAGCCTAGGGCTTCAAAAATAATTAATAGAAAAATTGTAACATAGAGCCATCACATGCTGACTTGTTTATACTCGATTTTTGTTGTTATCTTGATAAACAATAGTAGAACGAAATTCTTGGTAGCTGCAAAATTATTAGTCAAACATTTGCAGCGTCAGATCCCTTATATATTAGGGTTTTTCTATTTGGACGTCAGGTTGACACCTCAGTGTACAAATCCCTAACAAGAGGGGGTCCATGACCAATAAAAAATTGTTGGCTCCCCTATTGTGAGGGAATCTGTACATCGAGATGTCAACTCCGATGTACATTTAGCAAAGCACCATATGATATTCTGTCAACTTTAGCTATCAAAATAATAGTATTAATATTTCCAATTAAAAAGTATTAAACATTAAAATTCTACAAAGTATTAGAGTTCAAACGCATCAACAATTTGGATCTTGGCCTTTGATGTCCTCAACGTAGGGATGACAATAGGAGTTGGGGCATCAGCTTGCCTCGTCGACTAATTTTGTCTTCTTACCTCTTTTCATACTCAGTTAAGGTGGGATGAGACGGAACATATCCCTTATCCTGTTAACCATTCTATTTTTTTGCTTTTATTTTTTTAATGTCTTTAGTTTATGAAAATTATTAATTTTTTATTTGATTTGTAGAATAACCCATATTTTCTTTAAATACGATGATGATTATTTTCTTTTTGGGGGATCAAAAGGTTACATTATAAAAATGGAATTTAAACAAAGTGGGTAAGTCTTGCCCCATGTGGGGGCAACGACATTTCACCTCCATTCCGTGTATGCGATTAAGCGGAGAATCCCCACCATATTCAAAGTGATGCCTCGCAAGTATCGATTTTATTTATTTATTTATTTTGACATAATGAGCTATTGTTTTGCGAAGTTAAGCTTCATTCATCTACTTGAAACAGAAATTAAAATAGAACCACTTCTTTTAAAAATTTTAATACTTTAAAAAGAAATTTCTAGATTCAAATAATAATCGACCGAAGAAAAATTGGTATCGAGACAAATATATAGTAATGAAAAGCTAACAACTAACCAAAAACTGTAGTTTAGTGAATTAGCCCCTGTTTGGTTTGACTTATTTCTCATATTAACTTAATATTATATATCAATATTCCGTGGATGTGGCTGCTCTTTGTATTCTCCAATATTTCCACAATGACCAAAAAAACATTTTGGCATTTTCAGTATAAAATAGAGATTGCTCAAAATCCAAACACCGGACAATTTTTGATAATTAGTGGGGCTAATTGTCTGTTGAAGGATTTTTTTTATATATTATTTAAAAATCAGATTTTTAATAATTTTTTTATTAAAGTTGATAAAATGAGAGTTGAAAAGTTATCGACCTCATTAAATGAGTGATAAAAATGATTTTTTAACTTAAATTTTAATCAACCTTATTAGCTGAACCAAACAGGATTGTGTTTCTATTTAAATAATGGAAAATGATTCAAGTACAGGGAATTTTTATCAGAATTTGACCAGATTTTTGAATTCCAACTCACATGTAGTGGATTCATGTATAAAATATTGAAAGAAAAAAAAAATTTCCCCCAAATGTTGTGTGTGGTCTGTAGGTACAGGAATTTGAATTTCTGTGCCTATAGCTAAATCCTTAATTAATTTACGTAATTGACTTTTGGTTTCAAGAGTAAAAATGTTAACGATTTGTTTATATTTTTACGTCGTGATGAATTTAAAATATGTATACCGACATTAATTAGTTAAACCCAATTTGAATTATTGTGATAATTTTTTTTATGAATGAGCGTGACATATACATATTACCTAAAGAATGAGCTCGACATGGAAAAATGAAGGCCCTCTAAAGTAGAACGGAAATTCAAATCATATATTGAATTAGTATCTAGCTCTTGTTTGGTACGACTTAAAACTTTTGATCATATATTTCATCAATTTTTATTTAAATTTAATAAAAAATTAGATTATAACTATACCAAACATGGGCTTTCAAACTCGAGGTGAAGGTCTAACTTGGCCTAATTGTAGGCTCGAACCTAATTATACCTAAAAAATGATGCGATGGTCTTCCATGGTAGAAATAGTGAGCAAGTCATTGCCGACTATTAGGGAGCTTATTTTGACTTTTAGAGTGCTAACTCAAAAATGCACGACTTATGCAAAATATGATTGAAACTTGAGAAAAAGTGCACTACGTCTAGTCTCTACTGAATAAACGGTCTGTTTGTTATAAATTTTGAAAAGTCGAAAGTTATTTTTAGATTAAAAAATTATTTTTCAACATATTTGAATAATTTTCTGAAAGTGTTTTGTCTGATTATCAGGGTATTTAGAGGAAATTGTTTAAGATAACTTCCTCATATGACTCTTTTACAAGAGATAGAAATAAAAACAGAATTCCTGTCAAACGGGCCCTAAAATAGTAAAAACTGAAAGGCAAGACAAGTCAAATAAGAGTTGAAATTTTTTCTCGATTTTTTCTATCTCATTAACCGTTCATTCAATCAACATTTGAAACACCGTTTTAACGGATACTCACGCGCGCGCGCACACATTTTTTATCATTCCAATTAATCCTTTTTACTTTACTTAGTTCTCTATAATTTTTTTTTTTTTTTTAATCCTTTTTTACATGTATTGTCTTTTCTTTCTTTTGTGCTTCTTTTAACATGTCCTAAAAAAATCTCCATCTGCTTCGACTATAACCAAATC